TCCTGTATACTGGCAGGACTACACTCTTAATTTCTGTTTGTGCCTCTCCCTAGAGGTGCTGGCAGACTCCCCTGCTCAGGAGTTCAGGGCTGGAACTGGAGGAGGGCTGCTTAGCTCTGGAGTGTGATGCATTAACAAAAGTATGCAGAGCTGTGAGGGGAGGTTTGGACAGAGTCTATTCACCCTGCCTGCCCAACCACTAAACCTTTAGTTTCAGAAGCATTAACCCCACTCACAAACTTAAGAAATACTCACATCAAAGACAGTAGACATATGGAGAAGGTTAACTGGGCTAGGCGAATCGGAGCCATTGTTGGCTCCAAAACACATTTGGAAGAGCCAAAGGCAGGGAGGAGGAAAAAAAACCCCAATAAATTGGCTTCATAAAAGGAAGAATGTAAATTCTGCTGTCAATTTTCCCTGTGTGTAGTTATGTCTTGTATTTCCTATTATTGTGCCAGGCTCAGGATGCTTGTGGATACTTCTGGTTGTACGTTCTCAGTTTTCCAGCAATAGGGTTGAGAACTGGTTTTCAGAATTGGTGAAAACTTCATGCGCATTGTGTTTGTGTGATTTTCAGTCCTTGCCAATTGAGAGGTATTAAAAGTTATGTTCATGTAACTGTTGTGTTTATGGATCCATCCAAGTTGTCATTGTGACTTAAAGTGATTAATTAGTGATGTTTATCCAGCTTTATGGGAAGGAAAAGAAAAATCCAGAAAATACAGATTTCTAAATACAAAGTCAAATTTAAGAGATACCTGCTACATACATCACTTGGTATTTAAAAAGCAGGGACATGACTGAAAAATTAACTCATTCTCTACTCATATGGTTTAAATACTATACACAAGAGGGGAAACACTACTTCCTAAAACTGCCTTAGTCTTTAGATTATCTTAATCAGAGCAGAGAATTACTTCTGTTTCAGCTGTCTGAGAGACGATGAATCTGATTTGGAGGTAGTATTATGAACCACTAAATCTGGTCGGGTTTGCCTGGGGCGATGGGTCTTTGATTCATTATTGTTATCTCTGGTGTTTGTTTCTTAATGATTTCATGTTGGGATGGTGTCCAGATACCTCAGTGGGTATAATTTCAACATCACTTGTGTGTGAACTATTACATTTCCAGCCTAACTTTGGGCAGCTCTTCCTAGCAGTAACTGAAAGCAATCACCCAAAATAATCTTGCCTGTAGTTCTGTTGCTAGGAGTTACACTGTATTGTTAGCAGCAATAGACAGAGACAGGAAAACTAATGAGAATTGTTTACTGTGGAGGCTACAGATATTTGAACAAAGAGGCAAAACTAGAGGCAGAAGCTGGGAGCAAATCTCACTGAGGTAGCTGCCTACAATCTGACTGGGCACTTATAAGTGTGAGAAGCATGCAAGGTCTGCATTTTAAGGTGCCTGTGCTGTGAAATAGCAATTGGAATGGGTCTAAGTCCCTTCTAGGAGATGTGGCATGGGTTTGCAGCTTAAATAACAAAATAAAACCCAAACCCACAAACACGTGGGACAGATGTCCCTAAGAGGAGTGCCTTTCCTATGTGGGTGACTGTTCTGTGTTGATTTGGGTGTTTTTGTTCTCTCCCAATGGCAGCCAATCCCAGTGTTCCTCACCATGCACAATGCAGCAGAAGTTATAACCTGTGGGTTCCAGAAGTTTGTGCAGAAAGAGGTAATTGTTCTACTAAATGATACAAGGTACCTCTTGTGATACAACTGCCCTATATCAAGACACCTGCTTTCCTTTAATATGGGAATTAGTGCCATGTGCTTTTCTAGTCTTGCTGTGATAGTCTTTAATAAGACCCAGAGAGCACTTTGCTGTTGACAAGTATCTATGTTGATGTTTTCTTTTCCCCTTTAGTTGATGAAACACTGCAAATGTGTATTGACAGTTTGATCTGCATTTTTCAGGTTGGCTTGTTCCTGCTTGTTTTTTCCTTTTGAGAATTACTGTTGCCCCAAATAAGAATCTCATTGTTTGAGCTGAGAGGGAGGAGGACTGGGTCCTTGGATCTAACCAGTATGATGTATCTAGTATTTTATGCATTGTATGATTATCGATAGATCGCATCTCCACATGAAATGCAGGAAAAGTAGTGCATTTATTTATTTGTTTTGAATGCTTGAGAATCTGTCCCAGGACCTGTTGAAGTCAGAAAAGTAATTCCTGTTCCTTTTAGCAAGAGCTGGGTTTGTTTCTCATGAACTATATCGGGGATCCTTCTTATTAGGCTATGAAATGTTTCTCTAATTGACCAGAGAGCTGCTGCATGAGGTATGACTGGGAAATCATTAACCACAAATTTGTTTCTACAGTGGCCTCTGGCTTGCTGATCTTCCATTCATTACCTCTGTTGTGTATATAGAAGACAAATAAATGTCCCGTGTTTGCTACTCCTAACAAACTGAAGAGGTCACCCAGGTTATGCGTGAAGGACATAGCAGTGTGTACCATGGCATGTTCCTGTCGCATCATCCTCTGATTAGTGTCCCTATCAAAGTGTTTCATATTTTCCTTCTAGCTCATGTTTATGTTCCTCTTTTGGAAAACAAAAGCTCTATGGACAAGGATAATGCAAAGTCTTTCTGAGAAGCTTCTGGAGAACAATTTTGGACCAAAAGATTGAGAAACTCACATGAGTTTAGACCAAGACTGATTTGACTGGGGTAGAAGCTAATTAAGAATGCCCAATATTTGAGTACATGCCAAACATTGTTTAGATATAGCTCAAGTTAAGTTTGAGCACCAGGTATAAGCTAACATCTGGTTTTAGGTCTATGTGCTGGTAAGTAATCTGGAAATATAAACTAAGTTGAAGTAGACTGATCTGTAGTCTTCATTCTTTTTTTTCAAATTCAATTTCCAAAGCAGTGCGTGAACATAAGGGACTGTAGAATCTTTCTCACTGGATTTTTGATGTGTTTGATGCAACAAGTGTTACCACTTTCCTGTTTTTGGTAGAGAAAGCACTATTTCACCATTTTTATTTTTTAATTTATTTTTTTAAAATAATATTTTCTTTTTTTACAGCAGACCTCTCATCTGAAAGTCTGTAGGTAAGCTTTTAAAACTACTCAGATTCAGATTCAGACTTGTTTTGGCTCCAGCTTCTGTATTTGCTGCAGATAATGGCACACCAGAACAATGAAGAATGTAAGGCACATTCCTGTGGGCTATGGGCGATGAGCCTAAATTGCAACATAGGAGCAATTAAATATTTTTAAAGTGTTTTTTTTTTAACTATTGCTTACATAGATACATTTTTTTCCTCCTGAAAATAAAAAAGCCAGAAGGCCAGTCTTTCTGAATAACAAAGCAGTGCTTTTAAGTATGTTTTTGGAAAGAAGATAGAAATCAGATTTGAAGTTCCAGTGAGTAAACAGTAAAATATAATGAATGTGATAGAAAATTGTGAAAAATGCCTTTCCTAAGAAAGAAAAGCTGAATGATATCCAGTTCTGGTAGAACCACTTCTATTAACCTACACAACCTACCAACCCTTGTTGGCCCTGGTTGTTTAGGCTTAAAAAATGAGATAGTAAAGGGACAAACAGAAGTCAGGCAGTCATGTATTGATAGTTTCATTTTTTTCCCCATCCCCTTGAAGAACATGTATTTGCTGTCCTCTACATTCTGTAATCTTTTAGCTGTACTTACATTGGATAATGTTGGGTTATTATTTAGTGTACTTAGAGGCACCATTTTCTTGATTTTCTTCCTGTTGTTTTCATTATCTGACTTACTGTGGCCTTGTTTTCACCACTGGGTTATTGTCAAGGATGCCAGGTTTTTTATCATCTTTATTCTGTCTCTTCCCATGCCCCTGGACGGCAGGAAAATAAACTGCAAAAACCAATATTTGTTATTATTTATAGTGACAGTCCACAGAAATTCCACATCAGCCTGTAGAAATACTGATTCAGCCACAGGTTAAGAATTTAATGAATCCACATCAGATGTTTTGTGCTGCTTCTCTTTTCATACAACTTTGCTGTGTATAAGTTACAAAGAATGCATAATGTAAAACTTAGTTTTGGTGGCAGAAGTTACTTTAAAATATGAAATAAAAATTAAACAAATGAAAAGTCAATGTAAAATTGAGTTGGATTGCCCATACTTTGCTGAGAGTACAAATCCAGTTTATGAGCTTTTGGTCTTGTTTGTTCTTTTTTTTTTCTCTGCAGTGTGCTGTTCCTCCTGGTAGCAGCAGTGTGCCTTCCTTTATGTGACACACAGGTTTGTAACAGAGCTCCAGTTAGACCTTGAGAGTCAGGAAGGCTCTTTCCTTGGTTTAGATACTTTAGTTACTACCTGAAGTCAGGTGGGATGAATCTGGGAACTTGGGTGCATACAACTGATCCAGTGCAGCCATCAGAAGTGTTGAACCTGCATTAGCCTCCTTCATAGACCATGGTGCAGAGCAGGAACTTCTGGTGTATCATTCATCTCCCCTGAAAGCAGACATCTAAAACATGCAGGTAAATTCCTCTCAAAAATGTTTATTTTTCCAAATTGATTGTGAAGGGAGCCTGCCTTGCTCAGAGACAGGTGTCTATTTAAAGCACTCTTTTGAGTAGTCTATGGTTAGCTGGGGGCTTGGGGAGAGAAACTGCATAGCTGCTGCAGGAGCTGAGAGACAAGACAAAAACCTCAGTGATGTCCCTCTGATCCTCTTGCCCCTCCCTGACTGCCAATACAAGACTAAACAGACTGGGTTGCATATGCTCAGATTGTTTAAAATGCTGTAGATATATGAAAGAAATAGAGCTCTTCTGGCCATGACTGGCTGAGAGCCTGGGTAACTGGCATATGCCAGGCTGCTAAGTAGGACAGGAAAACTTTCAGTCTTCCTGGCCTTCTTTAGTTGTGTTCTTTTTTGTATTTGGGTTTTTTTTGTGTGGGTTTTTTTTTTGGTAGCATAGGTCATAGCTCCCACTCATTGTTCTTGCTTTGTGAAACAGCAATACATAATGTTCACATGAACATGCTTTTATTTATGTAAATATTCTTTATTGCAGTTTGATCCAAAGGGTTATTTATGGGCTCTAATTCACTTGGTCTGTGTTGGTAAGTAATTTTCTTTTGGAAGAATTAGGAAAAGTAAATGTGTTGGATAAATCAGCTTTATTATGAAATTACTGATATATAAAGTTCTTGATGTGAGAAATGCTTGGAAAGAATGAAGGAGCTCAGTGAAGATAAGAAAGTGCATTCCTTTTACAGCTTTTTACATTGAAAACAGAAAAGAATGTACTAGGTATTGCAGTCATTTAACAAAATGCACATACAATTTTAAACAGCACTAAGCTTTTCTGGGAGTTTTGATGGCTGCCTATTAAGAGGCCCTTCTTTCTGAGGGGAGAGGAAACATGAAGACAGAATGAACAGTAACTTGTCCTGGAGCTTTACTGCACACAGTGATTTTATTTTAAAACTGACAAAAATATTCTAAAACATCATGGAATATGCTTCCAGAGGAAGGATGATGAAATGTCTGGGGGTTTTGGGTAATCATATGCCAATCTTTAAAAAAGTTTTACAATGAGTGCATGACTTGTTAAGTTTTCTTTTGTCTTTTTCAGACTAAACACTGATTTGGATAAATCATAATTCTTCCCTGAAAAGCTAGAAATGGTCAGACCCAGTACAACTGAAGGAAACAAGAGTAGTACTTTTTAACTAACAGATTTGTGTCTTTCGGAGCATTAGGCTGGATAAAAAGGGACTTGTAGTTGGTTCTTAGCTGTCCTATAGACTTAGGGAGTGACTCATTCATATGTTAAATCTTGTCTGTAAGTTAGGGATAATTTTTTCTTTATTTTGTCTGTTCATAGTGTAAAATTTTTATATTTATATTAATTTGTGTCTCCTAGAGGTCCCAGTCCCATTCTAAAATGTTGTTAACATACAAATAAGTGTGGTTGTTTGTTTTTTTTTTCCTTTAGGAAATGTTATATGGTAAACATTAGCTCATTTAGATAAAACAAAAAGCTAAAGATTTTTTACTTCAAACATTTGTCTACTCTAACAGTGATGTTATTGCTTTCACAAAGCCAGGAGGTCTCATTTGTAAAGCAGTGCTAGGAGGTGGAAAACTGCTTAGAGAGTCTTCAGGAGGCCTCTTCTGTATACTTGAAATGTGTATGAAGTGCTAGCATAATGTTTATGCTCAAAATGTAGCTTCTTCCCATTTCTTTTGTTTTTGTGAGAAACTTGTTGATATGACTGTTGGGGATTTTTTTGGTGTAATTGGATTTCCTATCAACTAAAACAGAATAAAGGTGCTACAGGAAAGGGTAAAAAGATAAACCAACTTATCGCACAGTTAATCAAGACAGAGCACTAGAGAAAGGACTTGTTCTACCCTTCAGCCTGTCTATCGGAGGCAGAGTTGAGGACATCTGTTACATAGTGTTCTACTGGATTTGTTTTTCATGCTGGTTTTGTTTCTGAATTTAAAAAAAACACACCAAAGCCTTGAAGAAAGGGTCTGAAAAAACAGAGCCTGAAAGCTGCATTGTTCCTGCCTTCAGTGCTTAAAGCTTTGCCCAGAATAGAAATGGGAGCTAACCAAGAGGTAGGTAGGTCAAGAATGTGAAGAACCTGGAGACCCTAGAGCTGAGAGAACTCCAAATAGGAAAGACAGCTTAGAGTCAACAACTGTAGAGATCTACATAGATTAATACATCATAGAAGTTACCCAAAAAATGGGGTGGGCTGAAGAACCTGTTCTGTGATACTTATCTGTGTGTATTTACACATATGTACACACACACACGTACACTCCTTTGTAGTTGCTGAGAGCAAGGAGTTTTCTTCAGAAAGCCTAGCAGAAACACACAACATGACAATACTCTGAGATGGCAGCACTTTGAAAGCTATTAATTTGAAGTGACAGGTTCATTTTTGCTCATGGTTTAAGCATTATTTGTGCCATGTTGCTAAACTGTAATTCAGAGGGGTTCCACATCTGCCCGTGCCATGGCCAAACGAGCCCTTGTTTGTCAGAATGATTGCATAGTGTGGCAATTACAGATGTCATTTCAATTACAGGGGCTTACAAAGTATTTCACAAGTTATGGACACCTAACTCTTTAAGGTAATGTGTTTTCATGTTCTTTAAAAGAAAGAGATTGCTATCAAAGAGGGTTAGAGACATATTTGTGTAGGAGTCAGGTAGAGTGTAGGGATCTCTGCATTGTCAGTGTCAGCTGGGCTACTCTTGTTTAATCATTAAAGACTTCTCTTTCAAGGGGAGCCTTATTTACTGTGGATTACAACAGCATGTGGTTTTTGACAGTTATTCAGTGAACTCGAGCACTGAATTAGTTTTAAACAGTGTGTTATCAAAGGATGCTGACTCGGTCCTGGAAAAAGAACCCCTGATTACTGGCACAGTCATCAAGAGGAAATGTTAGTTTGTGTTAGCCTTTAAAGCTACATGGTTTGAATCTGTCAGTATCTCTGGTTGTGACACAGTCTCAAAAGCGTGTAGCAGCTGGTGACTTCCCTCCAGACTGGAATGGCCGAGTACCTGAAAAAACTTGAAACCTTGTGTTAATCCCATGTTAAAACTTCAGCCAGACAATAGTTGGTTTGAAAGTAGGTGGCACTATGTGTTCACAGTGTCTGTAATGTGCAATTTCCTGTATGGATAGATATGTTGCCAGTGCATATTATGAATATGTACATTATATGTGTGTGTATAGGTTATGGGTAAGCTCATGTATTTCAAAACCATTTTCCATCTCTGTTTAAAGAGTCTAAATTTTAGTGAGGTCCACTTGCTGTTCACTTTAAACGAGATTCCCACTGATACAGTAACAACAGAAATAATGTGCAAATTATGTGTAAATTAATATGCTGCTTAATGTCTTGATAATATGATAATTTATTATGGTTCTAATTAATGTAATTAGACGATATTGTTAGTATTACCTAGTTATAACATTGTGTCATATAATATTAATATTACATAATATTACAGTGTTATAATGCTACTTAATATACTGATTTCTTATACCAAATGAACTGCATTACTAAAAGAACACCTTTTTTTCTTTCCCTCCTCCCCCAGTGATCTGGACCAACAGTACATCAACTATGTATTCAGGTAAAATGAATAAGGCTTTGATACACCATAGCTGGTTTTATGTGGTATATGTTTTAATTTTAAACTGTGGCTGGTTTAGGAAACTCACAGCTAGCACTACTTAAACATATTTATTTAGTACGATATTCACTGAAAGAAAAGTGCTAAGCTGAATGGCTTAGCAGCTGCATTTTTTTGGCTCTGGTTGTAGGTGTACATGCCAGTATATACCTGGGAGGTAATGAGGTGTTAATTATGAATTTTTAACTCGCCGTGTGCACAAGTGATCTATCATTCCAGAAGTAATATTTACAGAGTAACTCCATGGCAATTCCCCACTTCAGAAAATAAAACTTGTACAAAATTGCCAGAAGAGGAGGTGGTGATTACAAAAGTATGACTTGCAAAGAACATGAGTAGTGATTGATTGTTCAGAGTGCCCTTAGTGGGGTTGAGTAATTCAGACTTTCAGTTGTTTTTCTGATTGGGAGATATAAAATTGGCTTGTTGTTTTGTAGTTAGTGATAGAGCCTAAGCCGCTGACCAGACTCCCCTGTGCTTTTTTATTAAAAAGAAAAAAAAGCCAGTCCTTTCCTCAAAGAACCATATAAGGCAGAACATTGGGTGTACATGGCTTCTGCTAGGCTTCTGTGAGGCTTTATTTGAAATAAGGCAGATAAAGACTTTACTAGATTCTTCTCCATCCATAATCACATCCTGTATACGTTGACCACTTTTCTTGGAATAGTAGCTAAAGTAGTATGAGAACACTAGAATACAGATACTGAGTTCTAAGAAAGACTGGTCAAAAGGAATGAAAGAGGGAGCACAAGTTAGGAATAAGCATAACAAAACTGAACTTGTGCTTGTCTGTTTGATTAGATGTGTACTCTTGTCTGACGACGTGAAAGATCCTTGGTAGGAACACATCAGGGACAGCACTATAGGACACTTCCTTCACTTCAGTTCCTATTTATCTTGAGAGCATCATCAACATGATAATACTCTGTATCTCTTTCTGTCTTACTTCAATCAAATTTCTTATTTCCATAAATACTTAATGCAGGCCTCTGATTTCACATTTGTATGATTCACAGAATCACCAAAGCTGAAAAAGACCTTTAAGATCATCAAGTCCAGCCTAGGACCTAACAGCACCACATTGGCTGGACCATGGCACTAAGTGCCACATCCAGCCTTTCTTTGAACACATCCAGGGACAGTGCCTTCACCACTTCCCTGGGAAATCCATTCCAATGTTTAATCACCTTCTCCATGAGGAAGTACTTCCCAATATCCAACCTAAACCTCCCCTGGAGCAGCTTCAGGCCATGCCCTCTCTTCTTGTTGCTAGTTGCCTGGAAAAAGAGCCCAGCTGCCACCTGACTTCAACCTCCCTTCAGGTAGCTGAAGAGAGTGATAAGGTCCCCCCTGAGTCTCCTCCAGGCTAAACAACCCCAGCTCCCTCAGCCTGTCCCTGTAAGACTTTCCTTCTAGTCTTTTCACCAGCCTTGTTGCTCTCCTCTGGACATATTCCAGTGTCTATTTACCAGGGCCCCATGTGTTGACAATATCTGAATATCAGTTTGCTTGAAGCAGACTCTTGTTTAAGTCAGTTGTTGTTTTCCATCTGCTATGAAGTGCAAAGCAAATAAATTTTACTCCAAGAAGGTAGTTGTGTTTATAAAAAAATTAGTCATGGAACTTGCAAATATGCTACTATGTGCAGAAATAACCCATGAAGTCTTGAATGAGCTGTAGCTGGTTGGTTGAAGGGAGAACCATGAAACAAGCAGTAAAATCAGTTGATTTGTCATTTTGGCACCTCCCTGACTATGGCTCTCAGTTGTTGTTTTAGTTGAAAACTGCATCTGGGCCTGAACCTTTAAATCACAGAATCACAGAACTATTCAGGTTGGAAAAGACCCTTGGGATCACCGAGTCCAACCATCATTCCTACCCTACAAAGTTCTCCCCATTAAACCACATCCACCAACACCACATCCAAACAACCCTTCAACACATACAGGGATGGTGACTCATCCACCTCCCTGGGCAGCCTATTCCAATGTCTAACCATTCTTCCTGTGAAAAAAGTCTTCCTGATGTCCAGTCTAAACCTCTCCTGTTGCAGCTTGAAGCCATTCCCTCTTGTTCTGTTGCCAATTACCTGTGAAAAGAGACCAGCACCAACCTCTCTACAATGACCTTTCAGGTAGTTGTAGAGACTGATGAGGTCTTCCCTCAGCCTCCTCTTTCTCTAACTAAACGTTCCCAGCTCCTTCAAGTGTTCTTCAATGCTTCAGATTTTGGCTGAAGGTCTTTATTTTGCTGCTTTGATTGAAAAGTCAGGGCTGGGTTCCTGCTGTGTTAATTGATGGTATCCTTTGAATCTGTGAAGGTGTGTCCAGTAGAGAGCAGGAGTTCCACATTATATGGAAGGTATGATTATTGAGTTAGAGACTTTTAGAAGGGAGAAGCTTCTCACTAAGGAATTGTGATGTACAGTGATGTAGATTTTAAAAATATTAATTAAAAATAACCCAAACAAAGCAAAACAAACAAAAAAACCCACTGAAATTGTGCTAATTGGAAGATGTCTTTTTTTTTTTTTTTGCATCTGCTTTAAAACAAAAATGTATTATCAAAGCTTGCAGAAATGTCACCATTAAGGGGCTTAAAGATCAGTGTAGTTCATGAGATGATGGTGCAAAGAATTGCTGTGAAACTTAGAGGAGGCAGAATACTGGGTGCTTATTTGTTTGGCTTGGGTCTGCATGTGTATGTATGTATATATTTTCCTGTGTTAAAAGAAGCTCTTAGTCCATAGCATTTGGACCTCATCTTGTCTAGGGAAAACAAGCAGCACCATGGACAATGGGAAAAGTGTCACATTATTTCTTTTAGAGTATTGTTTTGTCATAAAAGTGGATGATGTTTGAAGGGGTATGAAATTTGGTGGAAGCTCTCTCCACGTTTGTGACCTCCATGATGTGTCACTGCTGTAAAGGTCCTCCAGCGTCTAATGGGGCTGAAATCTTTCTGCTGCAGATGGCACTGGTGGGATTTGTCTCTTTCTGAGATTTGTATCCATGTAGTTTTTTGGACATGACTACGACTTCACAAATTTGGATTAAGCTGGTCAGTGTGTTTGAGAGCTGTATAGAGTTATGCATGTATGTGCACACACAGATTTATTGCACAAGCTTAATTTCTGTAGAAAAGAGTCAAAAGTATTTTTAAATCACACTGAGTAGAGAGCATTTTACTTTGAACATTCTTAGAATGAGCACTTAACTCCTCACAGGCAGTTCTGGGTCAGAATTACTGTGAGTGTGTGCTTATCTTTCCCATGACTGAATGTTGCTGCTTCCTCTACTCAGAGCTTCTGAAGGACTGTTTTGGCCATGACTGGATCCTGGTTCCACCTCCAGAACATGACAGTCTAATGTGTACTGGTGGCCTTGTCTGTACAAGCATGATTCTATTATTTATGAAGGAACTTGCTATTGTGTTGTGCCAGTGCAGCTTTCATCTCTTAGCACCATTATCAATAGGCCTTTATAGATCCTTACTTAGGTCAGAGACCTGTGCTGCTGTGCAGGGAAAAGAAGGAGCTGTGTGGGCATAGCCAGATCATTTAGATTGGAAAAGACCATTAAGATCATTGAGTCCATTTGTAAACCTAACACTGCCAAGTTTATCACTGAACCACGTCCCTAAGCGCCACATACACACATCTTTCATATACATTCAGGGATGGTGATTCAGCCCTTTCCCTGGGCAGCTTGTTCCAGTGGTTGATAACCCTGTCAGTGAGGAGATTTTTCCTGATATATAGGAAATGATGCAGGTTTGTTACAAGACAGGCTGTTCAAAATGTTTCTGTTTGTTATGAAAGCACAGTTGTACTCTTGATTGTAGAGCCTGCCTGGATAGAGCAGGCTAGAAGTTCTGCCCCAAGCTGCTGGATGTCAGAATGTACCAGTATGTTAGATTAAAAAAATATGTATTTAGATTGTACTGGCCCTATTGGACACTTCCAGAGGTGCAGCTGAAATCAGCAAGGTCTCCAAACTTATGCTGTGCCTACATGCCATGGACTGTTCCTTGTTTTAAAATCTGGACCAGTTTGGGAGGGGAGAACTTCTTAAGCAAATGTACACGAAAAGGAACTTTCCAGAACTAAACAGATCTGAAGAAATATTTGCTGATGTTGAAAGTGTGGTGTTCTTCTCACTTCATCACTTAGGGCATGATTATTTAATGGCTTTTAAAAAAGGAGCCAGACCTGGAACAAGTCTGGAACAAGGAGGGAAAGCAGAGCTGTGCTATGCAGAGAAGGGAGAGGTGATATTGCTTGTCAGTGCCCAACCCCATCCCGTTCATCTCCCTTGTGTTTAAGCATGTGGGGCTGGGAGGGGGGGAGGAAGAGAAGAGAGGAACTGTTCTTCCAAGAACCTCCTTCTAATTGTGCAGTCTTGTTCCCACCACCTTTTTTTTTTTATTGCAATATTGTATTTCCATGCACTCTGACTTCTGCATTAGTGTTCTACTTCCTAGTGTTTTTTCCACTATTCTTGCATTTTCTCTTCTTCCTTTCCAGTGCTCCACTTACTTATCAAGAAAGGAGCCAGAATTCTACCTACTCCCCTCAGCAAGCTAGCAAGGGGTATCATGGAGTGGGGAGGATAGTAATGTCTAGGCTTTCTCCTATGCTGAAGCAGGTAGGAATATGGTACTTCTTGTGGAGAAGCTGGAAGAAAATTTCAGTACACTCCAGCATCTATTGATGTCACAAAGGCATGCCAAATAGGCCAACTGTCACTGGTGAGGAGAAGACAAAGACTTACAGCAGGAGAGTTTCAAATGGTCAATAAACAATTTGAAAAAGGTGTGAGCTAAAGGCTCCGTGCAGCTAAACTACATCTGGCTTCTGGAAGAGATGCTAATCTGGCACTTCTGTGAATTGAAAAGCTGCAGTAGATTTCCTGCAATAGGGAAGGGCAGCTTTGCAGGCATAAATTTCTGTTCTTGCTGACAAAACCTCTTTTCAGCCAAAAAGAAAACCACTGGCCTTCATTACTCAGTACAGGGGGAAAAGAGAGGTACGGAGAAATACAGCACAGGGATTTTTTTTTTTTACTTCAGCCTGATATCCTCTGAATCCCTAATGGGGTTTTATATTATGATGTCTCTGCTACTGATGTTCTGTACAGAGCAGAGTTACAGGACAGCTTTAATGCCATCTAACCCATTTGCCTTAATCTCCCCTGCACTTCACAAGATTTTGTTTTCTTCCTGTGTTTTCTTTGGATTGAGGCCTGGGATGTCTGGTAGGGTTATCAATTCCTCTTGGTTGCAGAAGGAAGTTTCTCTCTGATCATTTCCCAATCTCACTGGTTTGTTGTTTGGGTGTTTTTTTTGTTTAAAAATTAACAATGCAAAATGTGAAATTAGAGAAACGTGGCTTAGTCATCATTCTCAACACTGTTGTTACTTGCCTTGCCAGTCTCCTGTTTTCTCTGTTATTCAGTCAAAAGCAATAGGCCTTTGCTTCCCTTCCTGCCTTTACCAGGAAACTGAGGATTTAGGCCTGTTTATTTTTAATTCCTCTTGACATCCCATGCTGGGAGAGTGCACATGACTGGGTACAAGGGGTTGGGGGGAAGTTGCCCACTGTAAGTGATCTGCTTTGCCTTGTTCAATATCTTCGTGACAACCACGTATTTTAAAAACATGTATAAATATTGACAGTGTGAACATACTGTAGCAGCTGATGCCTTTGAAAGATGTTGTATAAAATGTTAAGCTTAAAATACCCCAGCTTCCTGTCACTCCTGAAGCTGTTGCCTTCCACGGCTGATTTCAGTGACAAGGCTTCCTTGGCCATGGGATTTCCACGCTCATTGCAATTCCTTTTGCTACCAGGGCATCTGTGGATGATGTTGGCATTGACCAAAGCATGCCAAGGGCAGGCCACCAAGAGCAGTAACCTTGTCATGTGGAGAACTGGGACCAGCAGAGTGTGAGCAGGCTTGGCAGTGTTAACACTGGAAAAGGAAGTTTGCCTGGTATAAGCATCATGCTGATGATGCTGTACAGCTGCAGGTACTCGAGGTAGCTCATTTACAGTGAGTTCAGTTTTCTAGCCATAACCTCATGTGTTGGGAACCACTTCTAGCTCTTTCTCTGCCTTAGCTTTTCATTGTGCAGGCTCCACTGGCTGGGATGGCATTTTACTGCTCCTGCTGGGCCTAGTGAACTGTGAGTATCACAGGTAATTAGCCATGGGAAATTGCCTAGCTTCAGCATTCATGACATTAATTAATGTCTTTTTACCTTCGTAACTCCAATGCCTTCTGCTTCTCAAGAAGCAACCTCTTCAGATAATACTTTCTTCTATCTTTTGTCCTTTGTGTTTGTCATGGACTTCTGCTGTTCGTAACTGGAGGAAGCTGTAGCTCTGCTTTGGAGACGTGCATGCTTCTTCCATCTTGCAATGCTCCAGAATATGTTTCTGTAGCCTTCTAACCTTGGAAACAACACAGAGTGAAAACATTTGGAAAAAAATCAGAAATCTACCAGAAGAATCAGCACTGAAAAAGGCTTTGTGCAGTCTATACCACATACTCAGAGGATGAAACCTTTGTAGGACCTCAGAAATCTTAAGTGTTACCCTGGATAAAGATCTGGTCACCGCTGATTTTCCTGTTCACTTGTATCTTTCCAAAGGGTGGACATCATTTGGCTTGGTACTTGATTTTATTTTCATGTGTTTTTTAAAAAAAGTTGTTTAATTGCAGCATTTGTCCCTTCTCTTACTGTCATTTTTAGTCATGAATGTGGAGTGGATGCACAATCACACACTTAAGACTGTGTATGACTCTTACCTGCAATGGATGTACATCCCTATAAAGCTGACATGGGTACACACACAGCTGGAGTTGATCCTCAGACTGAGAGAGACACCAGTCTAGACACAAGTACAGTTTCTGCAGTTTCTGTCTCAGTGGTGTCAGCAGCTGGATCAACAGCAGGGTCTCTTGAAAAGAGCTCAGGGGTTACAGTGAATGCTGAGATCTGTGTGAGGCAGTATTGTATGCTCCTGGAAATTAAGGCAAACCATGTATTTGGCTACATTAGTGGGAGTGTAGCTGTCAGGTTGAGAGAAGTTATTATGAGCATTGATGAGGCTGCAGCTGGAATGCTCTGCTCAGTTTTGGGCCTCTCAGTTCCAAAATGATACTGAGAAATTGAACATCTGTTAGAGGGCTACTGCCTCTGCAAGGGACTTAAAGCACATGGCCTACTGCTAGGAGAGTTTGCAGGAGCTGGTCTTGTTGAAGACTGGCAGAGGTGCAACCTAACAACTCCCTACACCTTCTTGAAAGGGAGTTGCAAAGATTACAGAGCCAAACTTTTCTAATGAGTGCCAGATGGTATAACATGGAGCAGCAACCAAAAATTGCAGATTTGGTGATTTAAAGACATCAGGAAAAACTTCTTTGCTAGGAGGTTGGAGTGGCCCTGGGACAAGTTACCTAAAGAGATGTGAAATCTCCATGCTGGGAGGCTTTTAAGACCTGTTGGTTTTTTTTTTTGAGAGAGCCACAGGGGACATACTAGTGATAGTCCTGCTTCAGGTGAGAGGTTGTATTAGGTGATCCTGGATTCTTTCCCAACAGACTTTTTAAAATTAAAGTCATACTTATACCTCAGTTATTCTACTTAACTGGAATAAGTTTCACTGTGAAGTAGCACAAAGCTATCTATTTATAATGTTCAAGCCATGTCATAAATTCTGTAGTGTACAAGTAATATATTTTTTATTTTTTAGTGTGGTGCTATTGGCCTCTGCATCCCATCCAGCAGGTAAAGTGGATTGAGTTGTTCCTTTTTTGTTTCCATATTGCCTTTCCTCTTCATGCATGTTTTTAGAGGCCAAGTCCTGTAGGATTTTAGCCCTAGAATTCAACCAGAATATGACCAATAATATTATATCCTGTAGGAAAAGGAGAGGAGGGTATATAACACAGTGTAATCTGCATGATATTTGTTAATACGTTTCTTAGCTGACCTTTGCAAAGAAGCAGTATGGGACAGACAGCAAAGAACAGCTTTTGAGCTGGTGCATAGTAAAGAGCAAGGATTGCCTTGGTGAATATGTCCTCTTCAGAGCTGTGTCTCTGCAGTCCATATAGAACTGAGTTTCCTTCTCTGCATTGCCCTCAGTGTTACACGGATATTTTGTTTTGTTGCTTTTGTGAGTTTTATCCCATCACTTGAGCCCATGGCAGGATTTGAAGCAGAAAAAGATCGAAAGCTAAAAATGGAGAAATGAATATTTGGTGGTGGCTAATATTCCCATCATTCTGGTGTTTAAATTCTTAGAAGGATAAGGGTGATAATCTGTTGTTGTCACTAGACATTTTCTCCATCAGAAAAAGAAAGGAAAAAGCATTTAAATAAACATAAATTCCCTTCATTGCCTGATGAGGCATATGGTGCACATAGCATTCCCCCACCAGGATAGACAGCAATGTGAAGCAAAATAGTTGTGCATTTCAAAACGTGAAAGATGGAGCTTCTTCCAAATCTGTAGAGTCTGAAGGTTGGAGAACTCCTCAGAGTTGCTGCTAGCAAGAACAACCAGGGCCCAGGTTCCTGGAAATGCAAGTACTTGAGAGCTCTGCTTGGGTCTGGGAGAACTGCTTTAAACCTCTCAACTTGCTCTGTGTGACAGAGTTCACGTGCCAGATGGGGAAACAGCCAACATATGTCTGTGCTTCCTGTTGCTTCAGAAGGAACTATCACAAGCTCTGTAATAAAATAAGTGGATGTGATGCATGTCTGTCCACTGGCAACTGTTGCTTAAGCAGGATCTTCTGTATACTAGCAAACAATACTCTCACATATCCATTTCCCCTTTTTCAACCAAAGGCAGGGACTGGCTGGGAGCAAGGTCAGAGAGAAATCATTAAACGCACTAGAAATGTGGGAAGCATCATAAATGAAAAGTCAGCCAGCTGTAAAAGCTCAAAGGAATGTTAAACTAGTAATGTTCATGTAATTGCCGTTCCCTTGCTTGTAAAAGAGGGTAATTTTTTCCCCCTGTATTCTACAGAGTATATTGCTTTCTCCCTCAGGTGATCTCTTCAGTGCCTTGGACTTCCCATTCCTGTACTTCTACAGGTTTCATAGCAGCTGCTGTGCCAGGTAACCTTTCTATAACAGGACATGTGAATGTTTTCAAAATCAGAGATTTCCCCTGACTTCTAAACTTGACTCTCAGTTAAAAATTTTGCAGTGTGCAAAACCTTAGCTATACTTGCTTCTGCTGGCATAAGCCAGTAAAACTGCAGAGAATATATATCTGGACATATCTATAGATATGCATTTGAAGGCCTGAAGGCACACTCAAATATGCTGGAAGTATATGTGTTTATTTGAGTGACTGCATTCTTATCAGAAGAGTTCTCAGTCACCAGTAAAGTAATTCTTACCTAATGTAGCAAAGCTTTGATAAATACCATCTCTCAAATGCTTCTCAAGACAATTAGCCCTTGTACAACTTGCTGTTTGCAGTGATTACAAAGTATTAGTCTTCAGCAGTGCATGGGTGTACATGGATTTGTTTGCCTGTACATCTTGTTATTTGGCAGAATGTTTTGGGATTTTTGTGTAAAAGGGAAAAGCTTTAACAAGCATTCTTTTATTTTGAATAGCAAAAGTTCACTGCCCAGTAGTGTAATTCCCACAGGACAACTTAAGTATGTCTTCTGTAGTTCTTAATTACCTGAAAAAAATGTTCCTGTCTTTCCCCTCCAGTCTTTTGCCAAATGGAAGTCTTTTCTTTTTTTAGGGGGAAAAATACTTTTATGCTAATTGATAGCAAAAATATTTACTGATTGTTAGAGATTTGCCTAATTGTATCCAAATTTTCCATTAAAAGGACATATTAAAAATGATTGTTAAATAGTTTCCTTATGTGCATAGTTTTTTAGTACAAAAACAGCTTTTTATTTTTTCAAGAGTGGACTATCCACACTACAAGTAACTTGCAATTAGGTGTTAATGAATAAGTTGTTCCATGGTAGGTAGGTGAAACCTCTTTCTTCTGGAAGGCAAAGTCTAACTGCAGGCACTAATAGTTATCTGTCTAACCCAGATATTCTTATTTCTCACTTAATTAGAATTTTAGCACTGTTATAGCCTCCCACTTATGTTTCCATTGCTGAGTTTCAGTGCATATATAGTAGATAGCATTGTGCACTACAGCAAGTCAAAAGGAATAGATGCAGAAACAAATGTCTCAGCTCCTGTCTTGTGGATCTTGTAATCCACTGTCTTTGTAGACATAAAGGACTTGGAGGAAAATCTCTAAAATGCAAAGTAAACCTGTAGAATGGAACTGATGCAGCTACATCTACCACCTGTGCAGAATGTCTGAAGCATTAGTAGTAAGGTGCAAAGGGCTCCATTCTGTTAATGAAATAAATCGGTGTTAACTGTGAGGTCAATGTTTCAGGTGTTATAATTAGCTGGCTCACTTTTATCTCTGAGTTAAACCAAACAGCTTCAAATCACTCTGACTAAAAGCCCTTCTCTGCAGGACAGAAGATGTGGTACAAACTTAAGCCAGCTGCTGGACTTTCAAAAGTTTGGGCAATGCTGCTTCATTTAACTCACTGATTTCTCAGAGTTGAATGCTCAACTGTCCAGCACTTCATCCTCCGTAGTAAGGAGTTGAGTTTGGGCCTACCTTTCATCATCAAAGCAGCATCTGCTTTCTTGGTGCCAGCTACAGCAAATAGAATCATAGAATCACAGAACTATCCAGGTTGGAAAAGACCATTGGGATCACCTAGTCCAACCATCATCCCTACCCTACAATGTTCTCCCCCAGACCATATCCAACAACACCACATCCAAACAACCCTTCAACACATCCAGGGATGGTGACTCAACCACCTCCCTGGGCAGCCTATTCCAGTGTCTAACCACTCTTTCTGCGAAAACAGTCTTCCTAATGTCCAGTCTAAACCTGCCCTGTTGCAGCTTGAAGCCATTCCCTCTTGTTCTGTTGCCAATTACCTGTGAGAAGAGACCAGCACCAACCTCTCTACAATGACCTTTGAGGTAGTTGTAGAGACTGATGAGGCCTCCCTCAGCCTCCTCTTTCTCAAACTAAACATTCCCAGCTCCTTCAAGTGTTCTTCCTAAGATTTATTCTCTAGACCCTTCACCAGCTTTGTTGCCCTAAATAGTCCTTTGGGGTCTCATGTTATGGCTCAGTTTAAGAAACCCTAGTGCATCCTTCTTCTGAATAGTTATCTTACCCTACTGTTTGGTGTATCAAAACCACCTGTACTGACATGTGGCCGAGATGCAACTTTGCCATGTGTACTAAGCAGGGAACAGCACTTGTCTGAGGTGCTGGAGCTCAGCATGGAATTTCTGACTTGGGGAGCCACCATCTTCCCCCTTCCTCCTATTGCAGAGAGAGCACCAACTGCATTGCATCAGTATCCAGAACAGCATGCCTTCTCTGAAGACCTTTTTTTGCCTCACCATCTGTGTGCTGTGTTGATCCTATCTCCTTTCCTGTGTAGCTTCCTACAGTGCTTTGTAATCTCTTGTGCCTCTCAACCAGCCACACAGTAGTTTTTGCTGTATGCATTTTGAAGTCATTTTCCCTGATTGCTGTTTTACACTAGTTGAATGATTCACAACCAGTGTGTTGTAAGTATATCACAAATGAGACAAAATCCAGAGGCAAAGCTCTGTGAGGTTCAGTGAGATGTGGAAGAGTTTCCCTAAGAGTAGTCTTGGCTGCAGGAGCACTGGGGACTGCTGTCCTATATGACTTGAGAATCAAAATTCACTTAATGGTCAGCAGAGAGCTTTGGAGTATTCTCTTCCCAGCACTACTAAGTCATCTGTCTATTTGTTATACAGTAGAGATGTATTTGACTTCCTAATTGGAATTTAGGCTTTATGAAGTTTAAACAGCTTGAAAGCTTCAGGCAGAAACTTCCCAGTGGTTAGTTTTTCAGTTCATGATGCTGTGGAGGTTGAATCGAGTTAGTTGCCAAACGTGTGGCTCCTGTTGAAATGAGGATTGCCTTTTTTCAGAGTCATTTCAATGCCTGAAGTTAATATTCCACCTCACGTTTCAAATAATCTCTACTTTTCTGACTATGCAAGTGCATTAGAGACCAGCCATAAGAGCATCAGACTTACTTTACTCAGACTCTAGTCACTGACTGAGCAAAACCCAAGATTTACTGAACATAATGTAAGCTCTGTCCACCAGCTTTCTTTCTCCAAATGGTATTAACACTGCTAGAAGGGTGACTGTTCAGTTCTGCATTAAGAAAACCAAGATGCCTGTAAGAGGTTGCTTAATTGAAATAAAGAGATTTTATTAACTAGCTTTCCCCATCCCTTGCAGTGGACTGTTGGGATTCTTTCTGATGTTGCACACAGTGAAGCTAAAAAACAGCATGACCTCAGGGCAATATACAGCATGGACTTTCCTTGCAAAGGTAAGAGAAAGACTGTCACAGAAACACAGTGGAGCTGTGCTTCTCACAGGAGAACTGAGGAGTTTCTGCATCTCTCTAGCTTCCCTTGCTGCCCCTATTTGACATTCCTAGGGCCTGTCTGTGCAACTTGCACGTAGAGTTGAGGTGACAAATAGCAGGTACATAATAAGCCAGGATCAGTAGCTGAGATGAAATACTGTGTATAGATGGGGCTTAACAGAGCTGGGTGGATTAATGCAGCTAAGGATTTGGCCTGTCCCAGTACTGCAGATCTATACTTTCCATAGGTGTTTTGGAGAAGAATACTCCTGAGAGTATGTGCACGTGCACATTTCCACTCTGTCTTCCCAGAGCCAAGAGTTAAAACTAGTTCCCTGACTTTCAGTACCAGAGCTCCCACTGCTATCATTGCAGGGGAGGGGATAGCAGTGGGTGCCCTTTGCCTTGACATTAACATGACTTTTGACAGTATTTCCCTTAGACTGTTACAGTCTGGATGTGCAGACAGATGGGTTAAAAAAACCAAACAGTTGGATGATCAGGCTCAGAAGACAGAGGTTAGTGATTCCTGTTCTAACTGGAGGCTTGTGACAACTGGAGTAGCACAAGGGTCTGTCCTGGGACCCATCCTGTCTGCCATCTTTATTGAAGAATTAGAGATGATAGAGTGCACTCATGGTTGCAAAGGACACCAAGCTGAGAGGACTGGTCAATAACACTGAAGGATGGGATTGCCTTCCAGAGGTACCTGGAGAGGCTGGAGGAATGGGCCAACAGAAATCATACCAAATTCAGCAAGGACAAATGTGAAGCCCTGCACATGGAAAGGAAGAGCCCTTGGCAGTAATACAGGCTGGGGACTTGATGACTGAGAGGCTACTCTGCAGAAAAGGACCTGGGGATTTTGGCAGACAGCAAGTTGAACATGAGGCAGCAGTGTGCCCTGGCAGCTAAGAAGGCCAAAAGTATCCTGTGTTTTACTGACAGTAGCACAGGCAGTAAATTCATGGAAGTTACCAGGTCTGTCTTTTCCTCAGCACTTGTTAGACCACATCAGAAATGAGAGATTCGGATGGGGTATGAGGAAAAGCTTTTTCACCAGGAGGACAAGTCAGGCAGGCACACAGGTTGCCTAGGGAGGCTGTGCAGTCTCCATCTTTGAAAAGGCTTTCAAGAGTCAACTAGACAAAGCCCTGAGCAACCTGGTGTGACCTCCTGAGGTCCATTCCTACTTGAATTAAGATATGATCTGAGGATCTATGGTCTTGTTGTACTTGATTTAAATTATAAACAGCTCATTTATTAAATTATCAGTGGTAAATTGAGTCAGAAGAGCTTGACAGGCTCCTTTTCCCTGGTTAGATTTTACTTAGTTTCATCATTCTCAGCTAGGTCATCTGAATACCACAACCTTCCTATGTGGTTTGTGATCACAGCTTTCCTACTACAGTGAATGAAGCTGTTACTTTACAACAATAAAAAAGTATACTTGCATAGTATCATAGAATCATAGGATGGTTTGAGTTGGAAGGGACCTTGAAGATCATCTAGTTTCAGCGCACCTGCATGGGCAGGGACACCTCCCACTAGATCAGGTTGCTCAGGGCCCCATCCAGCCTGGCCTTTGAACACTTCCAGGGATGGAGCTTCTGCAACTTCCCTGGGCAACCTGTTCCAGTGTCTCACTACCCTCACACTAAAGAATTTCCTCCTAATGTCAAACCTAAATCTCCATTGTACCAATTTTGATCCATTACCCCTTATCCTTTCATTGCAAGCCCCTGTAAAAAGTCCCTCCCCAGCTTTTCAGGAGCCCCTTCTGGCACTGAAAGTCCCCTATAAAGTCTCCCCAGAGCTTTGATAACTGCTGATTCTCCAGGCTGAACAGCCCCAACTCTCTAGGCTTGTCCTCGTAGGAGAGGTGCTCCAGCCCTTGGATCATCTTCGTGGCCCTCCTCTGGGCTTTCTCCATGAGCTTCATGTCCTTCTTATGTTGAGGGCTCCAGAACTGGACACAGTACTCCAGATGGGGTCTCCCAAGAGCTGAGTAAAGGGAGAGAATCATGTCCCTTGACCTGCTGGGCATGCTTCTTTTGATGCAGCGCAGGACATGGTTGGCTTTCTGGGCTGCAAGCGCACATTGCTGACTTATGTTGAGCTTCTCATCCCCCATCACTCCCAAGTCCTTCTCCTCTGGCCTGTTTTTGATCCATTCTCCACCCAGCCCGTGTTTATGTTTGGGGTTGCCCTGACCCAGGTGCAGGACCTTGCACTTGGCCTGGTTGCGCTTCGTGCAGTTTGCACAAGACCCCTTCTCAAGCCTGTCAGGCTCCCTCTGGATGGCATCCCTTCCCTCCAGTGTGTCATCCTCACCACACGCTTCTGTGTCATCAGCAACCTTGCTGAGGCTGCAGTCAGTGCCACTGTCTATATTGCTGACAAAGATATTAAGTAGCACTGGTCCCAGTACTGACCCTTGGGGCACACCACTCCACAGGTCTCCATCTGGACATCGAGCTGTTAATCACCACTCTTTGAGTGTGACCATCCAGCCGGTTCCTTACCCAATGAGTGCTCCATCCAGTGCATCCATACCATTCCAGTTTTGATGCCAGGATGTTGTGCAGGACAGAGTTGAAGGCTTGCACAGATCCAGATGTTGGTTGATGTCGGTTGCTCTTCCTTTGTCTGCTGATGCCATGACCCCATTGTAGGAGGCCACCAAATTAGTCAAGCAGTATTTGTGCTTGGTGAACCTGTGTTGACTGTCACCAGTCACCCCTTTGCTTTCCATGTGCCTTAGCAGAGCCTTCAGGAGGATCTGCTCCATGATCTTGCCAGGCACAGAGGTGAGACTGACTGGTCTCTAGTTCTCTGGGTCTTCCTTTCTTGAAAATGGGAGTCATGTTTCCCCTTTTCCAGTCAGTGGGGATTTCTCCTGGACTCAAATGAGTCTGAGTTTTCTGGGGATAACAGGAAGGGAATGATATGGCTGGTTTTGTGCTTTGCAAGTTGTTTCATGCTGTACAAGTCACATAGAGTTTCTCAGCAGTTTGAATTTCTTCCAGACATTCTGACTATGCAGATTTTAGTACCTTAGCTTTCCTCTTTCTTCTTGGTAGCAAGTCAACTGATTGAAAGCTTGCTCTTGTGTATGGTTTGTTTTGGCGTTGTTGGTTTTTTTTCTTTTTTAACTTTCTGGGTTGGACATAGGAATAGCTGAATAGGTATTGTGAATGAGGAGAAATGTTTCTACATGTGGTATTTATGACCTATCTGAAAAAAAATGCAGGCAAAGATGTGTTGTGAAATACATTTTAAGCAGATCTGGGTCCTTCCCAGCTGAAGTGGATCAGAGCCATGAAGGCCTTAGCAGAGCCTTCAGGAGGATCTGCTCCATGATCTTGCCAGGCACAGAGGTGAGACTGACTGGTCTCTAGTTCTCTGGGTCTTCCTTTCTTGAAAATGGGAGTCATGTTTCCCCTTTTCCAGTCAGTGGGGATTTCTCCTGGACTCAAATGAGTCTGAGTTTTCTGGGGATAACAGGAAGGGAATGATATGGCTGGTTTTGTGCTTTGCAAGTTGTTTCATGCTGTACAAGTCACATAGAGTTTCTCAGCAGTTTGAATTTCTTCCAGACATTCTGACTATGCAGATTTTAGTACCTTAGCTTTCCTCTTTCTTCTTGGTAGCAAGTCAACTGATTGAAAGCTTGCTCTTGTGTATGGTTTGTTTTGGCGTTGTTGGTTTTTTTTCTTTTTTAACTTTCTGGGTTGGACATAGGAATAGCTGAATAGGTATTGTGAATGAGGAGAAATGTTTCTACATGTGGTATTTATGACCTATCTGAAAAAAAATGCAGGCAAAGATGTGTTGTGAAATACATTTTAAGCAGATCTGGGTCCTTCCCAGCTGAAGTGGATCAGAGCCATGAAGTCTGGACTGGATCAAAGCTTTCCCAAAGTTCAAGGGTTTCTAGATTTGTGGGGTTTTGGCCAGCCCTAAACATAATTTAGACAGAGTTTGTTCTAGCCACTGCTGTCAATGAAATTACTTGCCTTTGTAGCAACTAAAGATTTGTCCCTGTGTCACTAATGTAATTTAATCTTTTCTTCAGCCTTAAAATTCTACATTAGAGTGATTTAAGGGCTCAGTCATTCCTACCTGAGGCAGCATGAGGAACATGGAGGAACTGCTGCTCCAAGTGCTGAGAAGCAACTGGGTCTGAGTTAGAAGTCGGTGTATGGTTGAAAAATGTGGAAACAGTATACATCAGTTTTAGAACAGGGATCAAAAGAGATTGCAGAGACAGATACAGGCAAAAAGGAAGAGCTGAACTGGGGCTTGCCTTCAAGGGTAGGGGCTGATCTATCAGCTCCTGCAAAATTCTCACAAGGTGCCTTGTTAACTATAAACTTAATGTATGGGGTTGTTAAGAAGAGTCCTATCTATCTGATCACTAATGCTGCTTCCTGCAGGTGTTTAGAAGTCTTAAAAGCTATGTACTCATCTAGGCCAACATTGCCTGGGTGTGAGGGCTGTCTCAATCACATCTTATGTCATCAGAGGTGCAGAAAAGTATTTAACTAGTACTGTAAAAATTTGTTTAAATTCAAGTATGTGACTCCCCTTAAAAAAGAAAAAAAAGGAAAAAGGAAGTACATTAATGTGGATAAAGAATAAAGTTACAAAATATTTGAATTTGGAGTTGCAGAATGAGATTCAGTGGAAAGAAAAATCCCTCTGGTCACAACAACAGCTTTGTATTCCCACATGAGCATATTTCTTGGATTGAGTAGTGCCCTAGATCATCCTCTTAATCTCTCAGACTGACTGGAGTTTTCACCAGCAGTGGAAAGGAGCAGCATTTGAGGCCGGCATATGTTTATCTTGCAAATGAGCCAAGAAAGGAGAATGCTGTATCCTTCAGACAGCAGCGCAGGCCTCTAGGGAGAGGCAGAGAATCAGAAAATCTGTTTTCCGTTTGGATTCTTTGTACC